AAAACGGGATGTTTAACCTTTCCAGGGGCCAGACACCCCTGACAGAGGGATCAGAAGGTGAGAGGGAAGATGTGGAATGCTGAGCAGGTGCCAGTGTGATAGGCTAGAGGGAGGATGTGTTACCTCCCATCATTGAAGTCTGGCTGTTTGATGTCAGCCTTGCTGCTGGAAATGAGCTGCAGCTGCCTGTTTTGTTCAGAACTGAACTTCCTCCTGCATTCCTGTGGTGAGGAGGGCAGCAGCTCTGCACAGGCAGATCTGGCTCTGGGTGCTGGTGCTCCCCTCTCACAGGTGGCTGCTTCAGCACCAGTGTTCCTTGTGAGTGAGCTGGGATCTGAACACTTGGCATGAGGGGAGGGAAACATTGAAAAATGTGTGATCTGTGAGCTCCCAACTGTCCATCCAGGGGAGGTGCTGGCCCAGCTCCTGCCTGGGCCTGGGGGTGCTGGTGAGTACTGGCAATTAAAGCACTTTCTCCTCTTCCAGACCTGGATGGTCACAGTGACCCAGAAGAATCTTTTGCCAGGGATCTGCCCGACTTCCCTTCCATAAACCCAGAAGCAACAGGCATAGATGATGAGGATGACACCAGCATTGGGATCCCGAGCCTGGCGTACCGCGCACAGGGGACAGAGGATCTGCAGCTCCCCTACGAGCAGGAGGAGTTTGGCACGCTGCCATCGGTGCAGAACCTCACCAACAACATCGCTGGCTTTGTCACCAGGGGCATGATCCAGCTGGCCCTGTCAGGAGGTTCTCAGGCAGGCCCCTCACGCAGCACCAATCCCCAGAGAGGGGCAAAGACTCACCTCAGAGCAGCCAGTTTGGACTTGGACACTGATGCTGAAGGGGATGACTTTGAACTGCTGGATCAGTCCGAGCTGAACCAGCTGGATCCCACTGGCTCCCGGGGCCAGTAAACCATGCTGGCACTTCCCTCTGGTTTTCTACTGCGCATCATGGAGTGAATCCTGGAAGGAAAAGCTTTGCACAGTTCTCTCAATCGTCTCCTGGGGGTCTGGGTGATGTGACAGCCACTCCTGGCTGGGTGCACCACTGTCACTTGTGACTCCGTAGCCTCGCTTGGATGTTAAAATAAAGGACACTGGCAATCTGTAGGGAAGAGGCGTTGATGGGACAGCTCCACAATCACCCTGCACTGTCTGACATGATGCTGCCTGCTCCAAACTTCTATCTCTCAGACAATAAATCTGGTGTTTGCAGCTCTCAAGCCCAGTGGGACTGCCAGCATCGCCAGGAACAATTGTGCACTGAGTTCTGGCACTGATGTGTAACCAGGGGAACAGGACAGAGCCCCTCAGACGTGGTGTCTGGGCCTCAATGCTGTCTGTCTCAGACACCAATCCTAATGTGTGCACAAATCCAAGTCTTCTCTCCCAGCAATATCCAACTCCAGGTGGAACCAAGTCCCTTGCTCCACTGTGGATGTCGAGCAGCTGCAATGTTTTCCTTGCACTGGCTGCTCCCTCGGCTCCAGCTCCTCGTGATGCTGTTTTGTAAGAGCTCAATGGCAATAAGACACCTGCTGTGACCATCAGACCACCTGCAACAACATCCACGTGTAGCCCCTGCTCTTGTGTTGCTTCTCTGAACTAACAGCTTTTGTTAACAGCCAACTAACACTTTGCTAGAAACCCCTGTGCTGCTCCAGTGCGTTCCCGTGGGCAGGGCCGAGGCTGCACGTTTTCCCGGAGGAAGGAGGAGGTGGAGCAGGGCTGCCAGGGCCGTGCTGTGTCCCTGGGCCCGTGCTGCCTCCAGCCGTGTGCAGGCAGAGCAGGGAGAGCAGCCCAGACCAGCAGCGACTGAAGAGGTCGTGCCTGTGAACAAACCAGCAGACTCCAGGGAGCGCCAGCCCCCTCTGCCCACCGAGTGCCCACCGAGTGCCCCCGTTACTTTTCCTAAGCCATACAGACCCGGTTCTGATCACGTTTGTGCAGCCAAGAACGTACCTCGTCAGGGACCCCGTTACCGGCTGCTGTGTGTCTGATTCTGCTTATCCCACTGCGTCCGCCGTGCCGGGGCTGAGGGCGGGGGCGGGGGGGCGGCCTCAGCCGGGAAGGGGAGCTCGGTAACGGGTACGGGCTGAGTCCGGTGCGGAGGTGAGGGGGGCGAGGGAGCGGGAGCGCCGGTTCCGGCCGGGGAGTGCTGAGCCCTCCGCGGGCTGTGCGCGGGCCGCGTTCCCGCGGGGGTGCGCCGGTACCGGGCAGGGCACGTTCCGCCGCCCATCACGGGCCGGTTCCGGGCGGGGCACGTTCCCCCGCCCATCACTGGCCGGTTCCGGCCGGGGCGCGTTCCCCCGCCCATCACGGGCCGGTTCCGGGCGGGGCACGTTCCGCCGCCCATCACGGGCCGGTTCCGGGCGGGGCACGTTCCCCCGCCCATCACTGGCCGGTTCCGGGCGGGGCACGTTCCCCCGCCCATCACTGGCCGGTTCCGGGCAGGGCACGTTCCGCCGCCCATCACGGGCCGGTTCCGGGCGGGGCACGTTCCCCCGCCCATCACTGGCCGGTTCCGGGCGGGGCACGTTCCCCCGCCCATCACTGGCCGGTTCCGGGCAGGGCACGTTCCGCCGCCCATCACGGGCCGGTTCCGGGCGGGGCACGTTCCCCCGCCCATCACTGGCCGGTTCCGGGCGGGGCACGTTCCCCCGCCCATCACGGCCTGCCCCGCCATTGGCGGGGAGCGGGCGGCGCGCCGGAAGTGCGTGAACGGCGCCAACCGGGAACGGAGCGGGGCTGCAGGCGCGCGATGAGCAAAGGGCGGGAGGCCGCGGCCGGCGGTGAGTGCGGGAGTGGCGGGGGAGCACCGGGCGGCCCCGGGAGGCCGCGGTGACCGGGGCTGGTCCCGCAGGAGGCGCCGCCGCCGTGCTGCTGCGGTACCTGCGGGAGCAGAACCGGCCGTACAGCGCCCAGGATGCCTTCGGGAACCTGCAGCGGGAGCACGGGCTGGGCAAGGCGGTGAGCGGGGCCGGGCCGGGCTGGGGCGGGGCGGGCCCGGGCCCGGCTGACGCCGCGTCCCGCAGGCCGTGGTGAAGGCGCTGGAGCAGCTGGCGCAGCAGGGCCGCGTTCGCGAGAAGGTCTACGGGAAGCAGAAGATTTACTTCGCCGACCAGGTGAGTGAGCCCCGGCCGCCGCTCGCCGGCCCCGGTGCCCCGCAGCCCTGACCCGCCGCTCCCCGCAGGAGCAGCTCCCGGCCGCCAGCGATGCGGAGCTCCGCGGGCTGGACGGGGAAATTGCGGCCCGCTCCGGGCAGCTGCAAGCGCTGCAGCAGAGCTGCCGGCACATGGAGGCGGGTGAGTGAGTGTGCCTGGCCGGGCAGCCCCGAGCCGCTCTGGCATCCCCAGCCGTGCCCCGGTGCCAGCCCGGGCCGTGATCGGTGCCACCTTCCCAGAGCTGAAGGACTTGAACAGCTCCATGACAACCCCTGACATTGCCAAGGAGATCGAGGCGCTGAGGAAGGACTGTGCCAGTTACACGGAGAAACTGGAGAGGATTAAAACCGCTACCAACCATGTGACTCCGGAGGAGAAAGAGAAGGTGAACAGCAGCTGTGTCTGAACTGGGGTCAGTCTGGATCCAGGATCCAGCACTTGCCTTACAGGCACTGCTTGCCCGGGGCTGCTGAGAGCCCTGCAGGGCAGCTCTGACCCGCGGCTGTTGCAGGTGTGCCGGGAGCAGCAGCTGTACCGCCGGGAGTGGCGCCGGAGGAAGAGGATGGTATGGAGGAAGGGGATGGTACCGGCTGTGCAGTGAGGGCCCCGCTGGATCTGCTGCCCACAGCCCTCACCTGCCCTGTATCCCCAGGCCACCGAGCTGCTGGATGCCATCCTGGAGGGCTATCCCAAGAGCAAGAAGCAATTCTTTGTAAGTACCGAGGCTGGGTTGTGCCCTCAGCTGCTGAGCCAGACCCTGATCCTGTTCTGATGTGCTCGGTGCCGTGCAGGAGGAGGTTGGGATAGAGACAGACGAGGACCACGGCGTGGAGCTGCCAGCGGCCACGTGAGGTGCTGGGGGAGCCTTTGTTCTGGGGAGAAGCTGCTGCAGAGCTGCCTCTGAAACTCAGCTGTTGGCTTGTTCTTTTTCTCTTTTTGCAGGACTGGGATTTGTCCAGTGTATTTATTTGGTTTTGTTTTAAAATGTTTTGCAGTTGGAAGGGCGGTGGGTAGCATTAATTTAGGCACTGGCTCTCTCCTTGCAGTGGAATGTTGTTTTTTCCTGCCCCCAGTGCACGGAGCTGCCTGGCTGGGGGGACATGGGGGGCACTGGTGCTGTGTCCCTGGTGCTGTGGTAAGGAAAGGCAGCGAGGGACTGTGGGCTGCAGAGCTCTGTGTGTGTTCCTGCTGCGTGCCTGAGTGGTCACATGAGAATATGATCCATTAAACTCCAGGATTTTGGTTCAGCTGCACATCCCTGTGGTGTTTTTCTCTTCAGAAGATGTCAGGGCAGGGTTTAGGCCCTGAGGAGTGGGGAGGGCAGGAGCCAGGAAACCAGAGCCACCAGCTCTGGTTCTGGAACCCACCAGCTCTAGGACACAGCTCCAGTAACTCAGCATCAGAAAAATCATCAAAACATTCAGTGAAATTTATTTAATTACTTTTCACAATAGAAAAATACATCACTTTCACATGTGAGGTCTGTAAAATTCCATGTCTTCTTCCCAAGGCAAGAGGCAGCACTCCCTCCTCAGTGCTGGAAAAACTGCCTGAAATAAACATTCCCTGGATGTGCCCCTGGAGCAGGAGCACAAACATGGTGATGGAGAACAAACCCTGCTGCTGGCAGCACCCTGGTCCCCTCACCCAGGCAGAGCTGTGACCCAAACTGGGCATGGGACAGGGTCAAACATGTCCCTGATAGCAGCTGCTTCTACAGCTGGCACAGACAGCACTCTGGGACCATTTCAGAATTTACAGTAATAAAAATCCAATCGAGGCTGGTCATGTATGTGTGTGTATAAAAGTTTCTGTTTCAGAAACAGCCACAGTTTCTGAAAAGGAGAGGTGTCCCAGCACTTGCAGGAACTTCACTCTGTTCCTTCCCAGGGCTGCAGCATGCTTGGGGTTCATCAAGGCCCTAGCATGTGCTGCCAGGGCCACAGCTCCCAGCTCTTGATGGGCTCATCCTGCTGCCAGCACTGCCAGGCTCCTCCAAACTGCAACAGCTGACTCAAAACAGCTGCTTCAGAGGGGCAGGGCACAGCCCAGAGGGTCAGGGAAAAGCAATTCCTGCTGCTATACCAGAAACCCATTGTTTTTAGTATGCTTTTGTCACATCTGCCCACCTTGGGGACAGCAGGGCTGTCACAGGCCTGAGGGCACAGAGTGGAGCTGCTCTGGGATCAGCTCTGCAAGGAGAGTCAGTGGCACAGGCAAGCCCATGGCACTGCCTGAGCCAGAGACTCTGCCCCCATCTTCCCCTCCCCTCCTGCCCAGTCCCTGTAAAGATTTGGTGGCACCGAGTGGAGCAGCAGTGTCTGCACAGCCACCGTTGGGCTTCAGAAGGAATACAATAAATAATTCAGAGAACCTTAAAAACAGCCACAAGGGAGAGGGCCCAGGGTGGTGCCTGGCACCCTGGCCTCTGGCAGAAGTGCCCCATCCCATGGGCACAGAAGTGGCACGGCAGGCTCAGTAGAGCTGGCTCTTCACCTTGTGCAGGACCCCGATGACAACGTCCCGCAGCGTCTGTGGCAGAGAGAGGACATGGTTGGTCTGTGGAGGGACAGAGCCACCCCTGTGCCACTGTCTGTCCCCTCAGCCATGGCACCAGCCCCTCTGCATTCACCTGGGGCTTGCAGTGCTCCTCAATCCAGCTGAAGACACACGCTGAGAGCTCCTGAAAACTCGTTACGGAGACCGAGGCGTTGAAGGACTGGAACAGGGAGTCCATGATGCCTTGGAAAACATTGAACTTCACCTCATCAGAGATCTGGTTCTTCCCCTCGTTAGGGTTGTTCTGATGAGCTTTCACAATCTGCTCATAGTTCCTGAAACAAGCACGGCACACCAAGGTCAGCACTGAGGTCTCCACACCACGTGACTGAGCTGCCACTCCCAGCTCCTGCTCCCAGCTCTGGATTCCCACAGCAGCTCCTGCTCCCAGCTCTGGATTCCCACAGCAGCTCCTGCTCCCAGCTCTGGATTCCCACATCCAGCTCCTGCTCCCAGCTCTGAATTCCCACACCAACTCCTGCTCCCAGCTCTGGATTCCCACATCCAGCTTCTGCTCCCAGCTCTGAATTCCCACACCAACTCCTGCTCCCAGCTCTGGATTCCCACAGCAGCTCCTGCTCCCAGCTCTGAATTCCCACACCAACTCCTGCTCCCAGCTCCTGCTCCCAGCTCTGAATTCCCACATCCAGCTCCTGCTCCCAGCTCTGAATTCCCACACCAACTCCTGCTCCCAGCTCCTGCTCCCAGCTCTGAATTCCCACAGCAGCTCCTGCTGCCAGCTCTGAATTCCCACATCCAACTCCTGCTCCTGGTTCCCGGCTCCAGGCCTGTCCCCAGATGCAGAACCACTGCAGGACCCCACAAGGATGTGAGGGAACAACAGGAAGTGGAGGGCACGACCCCAACAGCTCTTCCCTTACACTTTCATGATCTTCAAGGCCATCACATCTTTCCTGAGGGTAGAAACTTCCTCCTCCTGCTTTTTCTTCTCCTTGTGCAGGAACTGGATGTAGTCAATAGCTGAGCACGAAAACACAGAGTGAGGATTTGGGAGATCCCCACAGGAGGTGCCTGAGCCAAGGCAGCACCATCAGCTCCCAGTGACCCAGTTCCCTTGGGGAAGGTGAGTGCAGGTGAGGCTCCCCAGAGCCTCATCACTCCAGAAGGTTCCAAGGTGCTGAACTTTGCCCTGCACACCTCTGGGGCGGAGCTTTGGGCGTTGACAGCACCTCCTTCCCTCCTGCCCTTGGGGACTCACTTTTCTGCAGCACAATGGCCTTGCTCAGCTTCTGCGAGCTGATGGAGAAATCCTGCTGCTCACAGGTGGGGACGATGGCCTGCAGGTCATTGTAGCCTTTCTGCAGGGAAGCAGAGCCATGGAGTGTGGTGGGCTCATCCATGCTGAGAGGCCAGGAGCACAGCACAGAGCCAGGGCAGCTCCCAGCACACACAGAGCAGGGATCTGGCAGCTCCAGCAGCAGAACAGCAGTGCTGGGAGAGCAGAGCCCGGCAGCACTGCCCGCTGCCCCGTGCCTCGCTCACCTTGATGGCATCCCGGCGTTTCTGCTCAGCCTGGGTGTGCGCCCGGCGCCGCTGGTCCTTGTAGGTCTCCTTGGGGGACTCCTGAGCACAGTCACTGTCCTCATCGTCTGTGGGGACACAGCGGGGCTGGGCGTGGGACACAGAGGCACCACGAGGGGCACAAGGCAGCTCAAGGGAGCATACAGCTGCAGCCAGGCCCAGCATAGCCCCCGCCCCGTTCAACTACAGCAGGCTGGGCAGAAAAGCTTTCCAAGGAGCCCCGGTAATACTTTCTGACCCCTCAGAGAGCTGGGCAGGAGGTAGATGCTGGAAGATCCCTTGGGAAGGTGACAAAACCACAGTGATTCTCGACTCCAAACCCTGCTGGAAACCACAGAACCCTGATGCTGCTCCCACCACCTTCCTCATCAGGACAGGAATCCTGCCCAGCCGCGCTCACCCCCTCGGTGCAGGGCAGACCTGAAGCCCGGCATGTGCCGGATTCCCCAGCGAGCAGAACCGCGTTGTCACCGAGAGCAAACCCCACCTGTGTTGGGGACAGAAGAGGCACTGGTGGAGCCGATGCTGTTGGCGCGGGACACTATGCTGCCTTTCCGGGCATTCTCCATGAAGAGCGCTGGAATTAAGATTGTCCCGGGGTCAGTGCCCAGCTCGGGGTGTGACCGGGCGCGGGGACGTGAGGGGCGTCCCCGGGCAGCCGCTGCCACCCACGGACGGGGCTGGCGCTGCCCGGGCACCTACCGGAGTCCAGGCCATTGTCGCCGTAGGCCGCGTCCACCTGCGCGGGGCCGGCGGGCGGAGGAGACACGTCAGCGGGGCTGGGGCGGCGATGCGGGCCGCGCCCCGGAGCCCCCCGCCCCTCAGGAGCTCGGTCAGCCCGAGCAACACCCGCCACCCCCGAGCTGCGGCCCCGTCGGGGCCTTCACCCCCGCCCCTCGCCCCGGCACCGACTCGTGCGCGCTCCCGCCTCCCGCGCCCCCGGCCCGGCGCTCACCCTGCCCGGCCGCCACGAGCCCCGTCCCGGCGCGCCGCCCTGCGCCCCCGCGGCACCCGGCGGCCCGGCCCGACCCGATCCCGGCCCCACCTTCCCCCACGAGTCCTCGGCGGCGGCGGCGCCCGGCGGCTCCGCCATCTTCCGCCCGCCCGGTCATGTGACCACCCGGAGCGCGCGCCGCTGCCGCCGCCAGGGGGCGCCCGTGACGTCATGGCCGTGACCCACCCGGAGCCCCACAGCGGACACCGGGGGTGACCCAACCGGAGTGACCGACCGGGTACGGGGAGTGACCCACGGGGAACCAGGAGTGACACACCAGGAGTGACCCATACCGGGCACCGGGAGTTACTCACCGGGCACCGGGAGTGACCCACGGGAAACCGGGAGTGACCCACTGGGTATTGGGAATGACCCACCGGGCACTGGGATTGACACACCGGGAGTCCCACACCGGGCACCGGGAGTGACCCACCGGGTTCCGAGAGTGACCGACCGGGTACCGGGAGTGACACACCGAGCATCGGGAATGACCCATCGGGCACCGGGAGTGACCCACGGGGCACTGGGAGTCCTACACCGGGCACCAGGAGTGACCCACCGGGTACCGGGGGTCCCACACCGGGCGGGCCCGGGCCCATAACGGGAGCGAGGAGGGGACGGGACAGGCGCACGGACACGCACGGCAGGAGCAGCCTCTTTACTGTCACCCAGCGGGGCTCAGCCCTGCGGGGCTCCCCTCACCGGGGACCGCAGGAGGCCCCGGACCCTCGGCGGAGCTGGACGGGGCCGGTGCTGTCGGTCCCGCGCTGCTCCGGCTCACGGTGGGCAGTGCTGGCTGGACACGGGGCATCACGGGGCTGTCACGGGGCCCTCACGGAGCTGTCACGGGCTGGGCTCGGGGCTCAGGCGCTGCTGCAGCAGGTCCCAGGCCTTGTGCACCTGCACCAGAACCGGGCGGCCTCAGAGCCACAGCACAGTCCCACGTCTCTTCCCTCCTGGCTGAATTCTGAATTCTCATCCCCAAATCCACCCGTTGTGGCAGCCTCGATGGTGAGCAGCGCACCCAGGCATGGCCTGAGCACACACTGAGCCCTGCAGGTGCTGTCACATCCCCCTGAGCATCCCCTGAGCCCTGCAGGTGCTGTCACATCCCCCAGAGCACCCCCTGAGCCCTGCAGGTGCTGTCACATCCCCCTGGGCACACACCAAGCCCTGCAGGTGCTGTCACATCCCCCTGGGCACACACCCAGCCCTGCAGGTGCTGTGGCAGCCCCATCTCACCTGCTGGCGGGTGATCTCGGGCTCCCAGAGGCTGCACAGCACCACCTGGGACTGTTCCACCCTCTGCCTGTTGCTCATCTGGCTCTGCAGCCGGCGCCGAGCGGCCTCCTCGGTGAGCCCATCCCTGGCCACAATGCGCCTCACGGCCTGCCAGGGACACAGGGGACACTCAGCAGCCTGGCAGAGGATGGGGAGCAGCCCTGGCAGCAAGTGAGGGGCCCTGGCGTTGCCCACCTCCTCCTCTGGGATGATGGCTGTCCACACCTCGTGCACCATGTCCTGCCAGCCGGCCTCCAGCAGCACGGCAGCGTCCAGCACACACACGGCTTTCCCTAGGGAATAAAGGCAAAAAAAAAAGGCAAAAAAGGGCATTCCTCAGTGCCTGGGCTCACTGCCACCTTCCTGACACTTCACTGCCCTCCTTACCTTGAGCATCAGCCTCCCTGACCTTCTCCTTCACCATCTGGGCTATTCTGGGCCACACGATGTCCGTCAGCCTCTTCAGCTGCTCCTGGAAAGGAGCACAGCAGGATTTGAGATGCAGCCCCTGGTCCTCAGAGCCCCTCTGCAGCCAGGCAGGAGAGTGGGGGTGTAAGCACTCAGGGGACACCCAGGAAGGAGCCACTGAAGGTGGGGAGGTGGGTCCAGCCCATCACTGAGCACCAGCAAGGAGAGCTTTCACCCTGGCCAGAGGCTCCCATTCCTGCTGCCAGGGCCAGGGTGCTTCTTCCTATTATTTTCTGCCATTAGGGCTCTGCTATTAGCAGATATCTCTCTGTGAGAGGTTCTTTGCTCCACACCACAACAAGCTCCCAGTGCAGCAGGTCCCACTAAAGACATGTCCATCCAGGGAACCTCTTGGTGTGCCTCTAACTTGGCTTGGGGAAGCAGTAGAGCAACAGGCTGAGCACCTGTAAAGGCCAGGTGGCACTGGGTGCAAGGGGCAGAGACCCCTGGCTGTGTTTGCCAGGTCTGTTCCTCTGAGCTGGGTGAAGGAAGAGCACGGTATGGAGGAGATGGGGATGGCAACGGGGACAGGGATGGGAACAGGGACAGGGGTGGGGACAGGGAGGCAGCAGCAGCTGCAGGGCAAGAGCAATGCATCCAGCCCAGCTGCTGATTCATCTGCACAGATGCAATCTGTCCCACCCTGTCCCCATGCCAGAAAATACAGCCAGGAAGGTGTCACCATCTCAAAGGGCTGGAAACTCAAATCCCCTGTCACAAGACAACAGCCCACACTCGCAGCATTATGTATTTATAATAAAGCTGCTTTTACCTGCTTTCCAAACACTTTGGCCCCAAGGACTTTCCTGTTAATGGTTCCATCTTTGTTCAGGATCTCTGCAAGGCAGAAGCACAACAGGTTTGGGAGGGGCAACTCCCATCCCTGTGGCAAGCCTGGGTTGGGGAAAGGGCTTTGGCACAGGGCTCTCAACAGGTACAGGTAGAAACTCCTAACCTGGCAGCCCTTCACCTGATTCCTGAAAAGGACAGGGAAGAGCTTTTCCCAGGCAAACAAACAGCAGCCTGGGTCATCATTCCCCACCAGCAGCTCTGACATGGGACACACAACACTTGGGGAACCCATGGGGAGGGAGGGGGCACAGGCCAGGGCTCTCTGGGACACCAGGACACCCCTCCCTCCTCTTCCTCCTCCCTGCAGCCTCAGTGCCCCTACCTGCCCCAAAGGCTGCCACCACTGCCTCGCGGGCTGGGCCACCAGGGGCATAGACGGCGTGGCCCAGCTGGTCCGCGTCGATGACGAAGGCGCCCAGCTGCCCCAGCAGTTTGGCCATGGAGGTTTTCCCACTGCCAGTGCCCCCAGTCAGCCCAATCACGTAGGGGCGCAGCGGCAGGGCCGGGTCTCGCTGAGGGAAAGAGGAAAGCCGTGGCAGCACATGGAGAGCTGGGCTTCGCTGGAGCAGGATCCTGGCCTGCAGAGCAGCAGGCAGCCTCTCCAAACTCTCTGAGACTCCCACCCTTCCTCCCGTGCCCTCCCTCACCCGTGGGGGCTGCAGCAGTGTCCCCAGCAGCCTCTGCCGCAGGCTGGAGGAGCTGATCTTCTCCTCCTCGTTCTGATTGTGCTCAGGGTCCTTCATCAATTGGATTTCGTACAGAGCCAGCTCGGGGAGCCCCTGATGAGAGAAGGGAGCCCCAGCCATGAGAATGCAGCAGAGGGAAGGGGTGAATCAAAACCAAATTTGCTCCCAGGCAGGGCGAGAGGGCGGGCAGGGGTAACTCCAGCATGAGAATTACATTTTCAAGTCTCTTCTTGTTGACAGCCACCCCTCCCCGGTGGGTCTCCTCGCTGACCACCAGGCACTGCAGGTCGGGGTCTGTGACCGAGGGCCCGAAGGGGTCGGCCAGAGGCACGATGTCGTAGCACAGCGAGGGCTTCACATCCTCCAGGAACTCGCGCAGCTTCGCCGCCCGCAGCTCGTAGGGCTCGATCAGCTCCGGCAGCACCTTGTCTGCCGGGCGCCAGGAGGGCGGGGAAGCACAACAGTGACGGAAAAGCAAGACCGAGGGGTGGGAGAAAAGAGAGACCAAGAGATGGGACTTTGAACGCTGCCTCCCCCTTCCCTTGCCCTCGCTGCACCTGAACGCTTTGCTGGCTGTGGGCACGACATGGTGACGCCACTGATGCTCTGCCTGGATGGCACTACCTCGGGTGGGTGACTCGAGCCCCCAGACCCCTGCCCTGCCCCGGGGAGCCCCGGGCTCAGCCCCGGTGCCCGCGCAGTGCCACGGCCGCCCCGGACTCACGGCGGAGCAGCTCTCCGTCCGCCACCCCGGCCAGGAGCCGCCGCCGGGCCAGGAGGCAGCAGGCGCTGAGCAGGAGCCGGTGGGCACCGTGCAGCCGGTCGAAGGTGCCGCCAACAGCCACGTCCAAGAACTCGGGGAGCGCCGCCTCGGGATCCTGCTCGGGGTCCCCGTCGGGGTCACCCGCGGTGTCCTCGCCCAGCAGCATCGCGGGCAGGCTGGGCGGGCAGCCGTACACGGCCGCGGCCAGGCGCTGCAGCCCGAGCTGCACCGGCTCCGGCGGCCCCGGCGCCTCGGCGGCGGCCGCCAGCAGCACGCGGGGCTGCCGCGCCAGGCGGCGGCCGGGCCCCAGCAGGACGCGCAGGTCCAGCCCCCGCCGCGCCGCCGCCGCCGTGTAGAGCGCGGCCAGAGCCCGCAGCAGCGCGGGGCCCGCGGGAGGAGCGGCGGGGCCGGCGGCGGGGCCGCCCAGCCGCAGCCCCGGCTGCAGGTGCACGTAGAGCGGCCCCGCCACCAGCCCCGCCGCCGCCGCCACCAGCCCCGCCGCCCGCCGCGGCAGCGCGGGCAGCGGCGCCGTCAGCACCAGCAGCCCCGAGGCGAAGGGCGGCATCGCCCCGCCGGAAGCGCCGCCGACCGGAACGGGGCCGGCAACGGCACCGGAACAGCTCCGCCTCCCGGGCAGCCCCGCCGCGGGCGGGAGCGCGCCCGGCTCCGCCTGCGAGGGGAGGAGACCGGCCCGGCCCGGCTCGGTGCAGCCCCGCGGGGCGGAACGAGCCCGGGAGCTCCGCGGAGAGACGGGGATGGAACCGGAGCCGTGCGGCTGCAAAGGCTTTATTGGGGACACGGCGGCACCGGGCACGCGAACGGGCCCGCGTGGACGTTCCCGTGGCAGCGGTTCCGGTGCTGGCGTGGCGCCGTTCAGGGCTGCTCCCCGCCGGTCTCGGTGCCGCCGAACACGAAGTCGTGCATGGCGCGGACGTACGCGGAGCCGTCGGGGCTGCTGAGCCGCAGGCGGCAGAGCGGGGCGAGGAGCTGGGTGCTGGCGCAGCGAAGGGGAGGGCAGGGGCTGCCGATGGCCTCCAGGAACAGCTGGCACCGCAGACCGGTCAGAGCCCTCCCTGGCACGGCCCCGCGGCCGCCCCCGCCCCGCCGTGACTGACCGGCAGCACCTGCTCCACCTCCTGGGCCGTGTCGCGGAAGATGCTCTGGCAGTGCCCCAGGTACCGCCGGTACAGCCGCTGTGTCTCGGCGTCCAAGCCCCGCATCTCGCTGGCCTCGGGGTCGGGGCGCTGCAGGTTGGCCATGAAGCTGGTGCGGACCGGCCCGCACTCCACCAGCGTCAGGCTGCGGGAGGGAGAGCATGAGCCGTCACCGTGCCCCCGCCCTGGCGTTCCCCCCATCCCGGTGGGCACGATCCAGCCCTCGCAGCATCACCGGCACTCACTGGATGTTGAAGGGGCGCAGGACGATGGCCAGGCTCTCGCACAGCCCCTCCAATGCAAACTTGCTGGCGCAGTACACAGCATTGAAGGGCAGCCCTGGGGCAGAGCCACACCCTGAGCACCAGAGCTGTTCCCCACAGGGAGCTCCGTGTGCCGCGGGGTGCGGGGGGTCCCACCTTGCAGCCCCCCGACGCTGCTGGACACAACGATCCGCCCGGCCCTGCGGCTCTTCATGGCAGGCAGGAAGGCCTGGATGGTGCGGACAGCCCCGAAGACGTTCACATCGAAGAGAGTTTTCATGGCCTGCTCGGAGCAGGCCTCCAGCGGTCCCATCAGTCCCACCCCTGCATTGCACACTGCCAGGCACGCTGCAGTCAGCCACTGACTGGAGCCCCACACACCACCAAGAAGGCAGAAATGGGGGGGCTTTCCCTGCTGAAGATCCCTCGGTACCCCCAAATCCATCTACAGCACCTCTGCCCTGCTAAACACATCCCAGCCCTCAGATTGCCTGCACCTCCCATAATTTGGCTTCTCCTCCTGGTGCCCTGGGGAGGGTTGTAACCCCACAGAGATCCCCTCAGCCACCCCGGGGACACCAGCCATACCCAGCACATCCAGCTGCTGTCCCTGCACGTGCTGTGCAGCAGCTGCCAGCGAGCAGGGGTCAGTGACATCGAGCTGCAGCAGCTCCAGCGTGTCGGGGCAGGAGCCCCCCAGGCGCCCCAGCAGCCGCTCCCCCTTGGCCAGGTCACGCATGGTGGCATAAACTGGGGAGAGAATGGCTGAGGCAGCAGTGCTGCATCCCAGCACGCACCCCAGGCTCTGCCTCTCCTTGGAGAGCCCACCTGGGGCTGACAGACCCCGGGGCAGTGCTGACCCCTTCCCCCTTTACCTTGGAAGCGGCGAGCGGCGTCGGCTGCCAGGCGTGCAGCCAGCCCCAGGCCGATGCCCGAGGAGCAGCCCGTGATCAGCACCGTGGTTCTCTCCATGCCTGGCAGCGCTGCCCAACGGGGCCACCCCATTTAAGAGGGCTGGGAAAGGGGTCCCCCCGCCCCACACCACATTGTTGTGTCTGCTGCCTTATCTCAATCCCCTCCACCCCCCTCCCTGCGCATGCCTGGGGCTCCCTGTGCCTTGATCCTGTGCAGGTGCTGTGATAAAGATTCCACTGAGCCAGGACCTCCCTGCTGGAGGAGGCTCTGGGGCACGAGGGAGCTGCAGCCCCAGCTGTGCTTTGCTGTGCCAGGCATCCCAGCTGCCAGGGCACGTCTGGCAGGGTGTTGTTCCTGCTGGGCAGGCTCGGGGCTGAGCTGCTCCTCTGCCCCCGTGTTCCACACAGTCCTGAGCTAGCAAAGGAGCTGGACACACATGGGAGAAAAGAGTCTGTATTTGCTCTGTCCATAGCTGGGCTCTGCCCAAGCCCCAGCTGTGGAAAAGGCCTCAAAAACTCCGTCCTGGGGAGGACATCCAGCAACACTGCAGGCAACAACGCTGCAAAGTCTTTTATGATACAAAAGGCACCAAATAGGGGCAGGGCTATGCAGTGCCATGTCCCCAAAGGCACTGAGGTCCAATACTGCTCTGTCCCCCTCCCCACTGCCACCTCCCTGTCTGCTTCTCACCCATCACTGCCCCTGCTAGCCAGCCAAGGCCCCACAGCAGGGACACATTTGTCTTGTCCCTCTGCAGTGTCCCACCAAGCTTCCAGCCCAGGTTTCCTGGGAACAGGCTCAGGGTAGCTGGGCAGAGCTGAGCACAGAGCATGGTGTGCGATGGGACCCTGGGGCACAGCCTGCTCCCACCCATCTGCCGGCCCCTTGTCCATGTGCCAGGCCCTCTTGGGGCACATCCTGCCCATCCAGGCTGGCTGAGGGCCACCAGGGCCACCGTGCCCCTCTTCCAGGACACAGCCATCAGGCCAGGAGCCCAGATGGGGGAGGGTGCAGGGGCTCTGTCCACCCTCTCTGGGGGAGGCTCCGGAGGCAGAACCCAAAGTCAGGCAGGCCCAGCCGAGCTGCGCCGCAGGGCGCTGGGGTAGTATTTGAGGAACAGCTTCCTGGAGATCTCCATGGTGTCCCCAGCTGGCACAGCTGGGTAACGCTTCTTGTTGTAGATGAAGCCTCTCTCCACTTGGAAGACAGCCTGGTTGAACTGCTCCTGGTGGAAGGGGCGGCCCGAGTTGAGGCTCTCCACCAGCACAGACACGAAGAGGCTCCAGCGCACGGCGTAGTAGTCCAGCACCAGCCCCCCCAGCTGCTTGTTGGCATAATCCAGGATGTTCCCGCTGGGCCCCCAGAGCGTCACCTGGTTGCGGGCATTGAGCTCGTACTGCTCAGCCTCCCGGGCGCTGGTGGCCACGGCGCGGGCGCTCTCCAGCCAGCGGCCCAGCAGGAAGAGGCTGTGGCTGCACAGGAGGCTGTCCAGCTCGGGCAGCAGGTCGTACACCAGCACGCCGCCGGCCGTCAGCAGCTCGGGCAGCGCGCGGCTCTGGAAGGCCTGGCGGATGCTCAGGTAGTAATCGCTGACCAGCTGCTGCGCTGCCTGCCGGGTCACGTCCACCAGGTCGTAGAGGAAGGCGGGGCTGGAGCCCAGCTCGGCGCCCACGCTCAGCAGCAGCCGCCAGGCCTCGTAGACGTCGCTGGCGTTGTACCAGAGCGCGGTGTCCATGCGCAGCGAGGGCCGGCGCACCAGCGGGCTGCGGTTGTGGTTGACGCAGACGCCCGTGCAGTTGTAGACGCTGCGCAGGAGCAGGCGCCAGGCGCCGGCTGCGGCGGCGTTCGGGGCGCCGTAGCGGCGCTCGGCGTAGCGCGTCACCCAGCTGGGCAGGTCCAGCGGCTCCTGCCGCCAGCCCAGCTCGTTCATCAGCTCGTACACCACGTCGTTCTGCTCGATGCCCTCGGGAACCAGCCCCGTGCCCACCATGGTGGAGTTGGGGAAGCGCCGAGCGGCGAAGGGGCCGTGGTTGATGGCCTCCACCATGCCAAAGAGGCCGTGGTTGCCCCCGAAGTTGTGCAGCATGCACCAGATGAAGGGCTGCCCGTAGAAGGACTCTGTCCACTGGTAGACAGGCTTGGACTCAGCAAAGAGGTCGAGAACAATCATCCTGCCAAGGGGCACTCCGTGCAGCAGGGCTCGCACCTGTGCTGGCTGCCAGAAGTCAGGCTGGTGCTGGAAGAGCCAGCCCTGCATCAGCCACAGCGCCTTGGGGTCAGCTGGGGACAGCAGAGCACTGAGTGAGACCCTCTCCAGGCAGGGCCCACAGGTGTCTCATGAGGCCCTGGGGCCACCAACCACCCCTCAAGGGGCTTTTGGGGATCTGGCACCAATGGGTTCTGCCCCCATAGCCACCTCCCCCAGCCCCTGCTATCCCACCTGGAGCCCTGTGGCCAGGCCAGCACCACACACAGACCCACCTCCTGTCATTGACCTGAAAACAGCATTGCTGACTCTGGAGAGATAGGCAGGGTCGGAGGAGAGGGGGGTCATCTCGTTGAAGGTGTCTGCGCTATAGACGTGGTCTGTGCCAAACTCCTTGATCAGCTCCTTCAGGAAGAGCGTCCCGATCACCTGGAACATGGGGTCCTCTGGGTCCAGCAGGTAGGTGCACGAGTAGGCGCAGTCAAAGTGGCTCCAGTGCCCCAGGCGAGTGGCATTCACACGGGGGAAGACCCTGCAGGAGAGGGCAGAGATGGGGATCAGGAGGAGAACAGGACAGGACCACCATGCCCGTGTGGAGTCTGGGGAAGCTGCAGAGGGAGGTGCTGCTGGAGATCAGACCCCGGGAAGGGCCCAGGGCTGATGCCCCGGGGCAGGGGCTGCACCTACTGGAGGATGCCCTGCGGCACATGGCCCGCGAAGGCCGGCAGCACCGTGGTCATGCCCAGCGAGCGCATCCGCTCCACGATGCGGTACTGGGAGAGAAAAGGAGAGAGGGAGCAGAGGGAGAGAAGCCCCCAGGTTCCCACCAGGGCACCCCGGGCGCTGCTGCAGCTCAGGGGGGATCAGGGGGCTCCCCTCGGCCGGGAGGACCGGGGGATGACAGGGGTTTGCCCCGGGCGGCCCCGGTACCTGCAGGTAGAGCTGTTTGAAGTGCCAGGCAGGCGGCAGAGGCCCGGCCCAGCGGCGGAGGTTGCCCATCCTGTTCCAGGCCAGGAACGCGGGGCCCGTGAAGTATTTGTCGATCTCCGACTGGTTCAGCCCCAGGTTACGGTAAACCTGCACCGGTAACCGGGGGTCAGCCGGTCCCACGGCTCCCCACCGCCATCCTGCCGGTCCCCGCCGCCCCTCGGCCCGGTGCTCACCCGCTGCCAGACCGCCTCCTGCCCCGCGAACGCCGGTGCCAGGTTGATGCCGCTCAGCGCCATCCAGTCGATCTCCCGCTCCCACCGCGCCCAGTCCCACCAGACGAACGAGTAGCTCTGGGTGCACACGTTCTGGTAGTAGCGGTACCTGCGGGAGCGGCGGAGGCTGCGCCCGGGCCCCCCGCGCCCCCCGGGCCCCCCGTTACATAACGGCGCCTTGTCCCGCGCTAACGAGGCGTGAGCGCCGCCCGGCCCCGCGTCCCCGTTACCTGCCCGGGGCGGCGGCGCGGATCTCGGCCCGCAGCCGCGGCAGCGGCTCCGGCAGGCGGAGCTGCGCCCCGGACCACGACAGGTGGCAGCCGCAGAAGTCCCGCAGGTAGCGATAGAGACCGGCGGCCGCCGCCACGCCGCTGGAGCCCTCGACGGCGACGGCCACTCCGGTACCGGGAGGCGACCACAGCCGGTAGATGTCGGGCCCGCCAGCCGCTAGCGCCGGGTCTACCGAGAGCGACACGGCGGCGGCCCGAGGGCCGAGCAGGCGCCGCGCCAGCGCCCGCACCGCCTCCTCCTGCCGCGGGTCCCCCGCTCGCCCCGCCGTGGCCGCCAGCAGCAGCAGGAACGGCAGCGCCAGCCCCGGTACCGGGCCCAGTCCCGGTTCCGGTCCCCGCCGCACCGCCATCGCCGCTGCGTGCCCCTGCGCCGGCCCCGCCTCTCCCGGTGCGGTCCCGTCCGCCCCCGGCCCCGCCCATCCCGGGACGGCCCCGCCCATCCCGGGACGGCCCCGCCCATCCATCAGCCCGGGGCTCCGGGACCCGCTCCGGCCGCCCGGGGGCGCTGCGAGACCGGGCAGCGCCGGTGTCCCGGGGCCGGGAGCGTTCCGGCAGCCCTGCAGGACCCACCCGGAGCGTCCCGGTCTCGGCCGCCCAGGCGAACCCCGCCGGGGAACGGGCCCGGGCTGGCCGGGTCTCTCCCAGCCGCAGGGGGAACCCGCAGACACTGCCAGGACGGAACTCGGGGGAGGGACGGGAATTCGGGGCTCCCCGAGTCCCCCCAGCGCAGCCTACGGGGGCCGGGGTGTGCTGCCAGCTCCAGGGCTGCGCCTGTGAGCCCACAGCCGTGGGAACGGGCAGAAATGCTGTGATTGCACGGGAGAATGGTGAAAGGGGACAGAGAACATTCCCGGGCCCGCTAGGACCTCCAGCTGCAGGGAAAGCATCCCCCGGACCCGCGGGAAGGGGAGGCCGGGCCCGCAGCTCAGAGCGGCTTCTCCCCCGCCCGGAGAGATCGGGAGATGGGAAACGCACCGACATGAGCAACGCCAAAGCCAAAACCCTGCAGAACCCTCCCTTCCGCTGCTCCTGCACATGGGGAAATAAATACCCTGTCCAGCAGGAAGGGGCTGAGTAAACACGGCCCTGGAGGGGGGGAACGGGGAAAGCAGGAGCAGGGCACAGCCCCGGGCACGCAGAGCGTGTTACCCCCACTGCCCGTGGAATGGAACGCACAGCACCCGGGTTAAACAAAAAAACTTAACCTTTTTGGATCTATGAGGGAGGGCAGGAGGCCCTGGGATAAACAGCCCCAGCCCGGCCTTTGCTCAGGATGTCACTCGATAAGCACAGAGGCAGCCCAGGGTCACGCTGGTCCTGCTGTAGAAACCAGCCCAGCCCACCCCGTGGTTCTGGTCAGGGAGG